TCTTACACATTCTCACTCTCAATTTGTTTGTCCATCTGCTCGCCACTCGTTCTCCATAATGCAAATTCTTCCCTCCTTTATTAATTTTTTCTCGTCAACAGTATAAGCCAAAACGGCCCCTCTGGCAACTGTTATTTTTTCGTATAATATGTATGTATATTTTGTATTTATATTTTTATTTATGAAAAAATAAAACAACGGAAGCAAATATTGAAAAATATTTTTAAGCTAAAATATTTATTTGGTTTTTTTAACCCTCCCTTTGTTTTCTTGTTTCTATTGTTTCCGCTTTTGTTTTATTTTGCTAGTTGATTCTATTGTTGTTTCTGTGTGGCACGGTTTTCCCTTTTTCAATTGTATGCGTTTTACATATAGTTTTACAGATAGAGAATTTGGAAATACTTACAAAAAGAAGGAAACATTTCGTGTACATTAATTGTGTTTGGATGAGATTTCTCGACACATTGGTACTACATTTTCCTTTTTTTCAGTGTTGTCGATAGAAGTCCTAACTTATGCAACTACTTCCCCTTCTTCTTCTTCTTCTTCTTCTTCTCCCGTGTTTCCGGTTTGCATTTCTGTGCTGACCAATTTTGTGCTGGCTACGAATTTGACTTTCCTTCGAAATCGTAAGCAACGCAAAACTGGAACTCCTCGTGATTGCAACAAATGGCATCGGCAAAGATGTGGAAGTTCATCTTTACTGGTCGCCATAGAAAATGTTCGCCCCCATTGTTTAGTTTCCATCCACAGCATATTTTTCTGAATATTTAGCACAGCGAAGCTGGAACACGGGAAAAGGACCTCAACTATACGTATAGAGTCCTTGTCGTCTGTAATCTTGGCGGCAACGAGAGCGTATGAGGCTTTGTCACGCATAATTAAAATTAAATGCGCTTTTGGGAATAATTCAAATGAATAAACGAGCGTGGCCAACATGTGTGCTGCATACACAAAATGAGTTTGTCGCGACAGAGTTGGCTTCTTTACCCAGAAAAAAAGGGAAAAGAGATTGCCTCAAACCGAAAAACGGAAAACTTTTTAGAAAGCGTTTTCTTGTGCGCTTCCCTGGTCCATTGTGGCGAGTACGCCCCATTCAAGTAGTGGGCGTGGCCAGGACAAAAGGGCAGAAAGCGAAAGAGAGAAATGCTTCATTTATTATGGGGCTGATGGTCATTAATTTTTCAGTCGCTTTCCATTTTCTTCTTGCTTGGCTTCTCCAAAAGGAAAATCCAGGAGGCTCTACGCACATGCTTGTGTCTGAAACAGAATTTGAATCTCCCGCAAATGAAGAACCATTAAAACTATTCCCATCCCGTACAGTGGCCACGAATTTTTTGTTCACCAATTATGGACACGGCCGAAAACCCGAAAAGGGTTGCTGCGCAGACAGAGGGATTCCTGCTCTAATTGCTGAAATAGTTGGTCCAACTTTAGGCTCAGCCTGTGGCCATTGCTCCACCGCATCGATGCCCAATTAATGCCGGAGCACGAAGTTGTCAAAAATTTTAATTAAACACAAAGGCGAAGGCATTCCGTGTCTTATCCTTGGGAGATGGCATGATAGAATCCAAGGGGTGAAAAAAAGTTCTGTAACAAGAGGAATTTACTTAATTCCAATAGCATCGATGGCATGTACTTTAGAAAATAACCGACAAACAAAATCCATAAATCACTAAATCACAAATTAAAATCACAAATTAGAACAAATATCAGAGGATAAAAATACGAAATTGCTTGCATAAAATACTTCACTCCTAGAAATTAAAATCAAATCGATTTTTTTGGGTGTAGGTCTTTGCCTGCCAGTACATCTGAAACTGGAGTATCTGCCGGATGTTTCATTGTTGCCAGGAAGTTCCACCAACCTGACAGATACCGCACATTCGCAACTGTTCGTTCGTATCTCTGTGCCACATATTTTAACTGTGTTGGAAGAGGGAACCAGCCGTTCTATATTAATCGACAATGGAACTGCCTTTGTCAGCGTTTGGCAGGCGCTTCATAAATACAGAGTTCCTTCACTTCTGCTTAAAGTTTGGAATGGAAAAAACATCCGTGAAGTTTTAGCAAATCTCTGGATTCCAGATATGTTCAAACTAGTTGTATTTGAAAATTCCGCACAATTAATAATTGCCTGCAAGCTACAAAACGCAGCGTATTACAAACTTCGGTGAAGTTCGGCATTTATGGCTGTTTGCTTTTTGGGATTTTGCGTTTTGCAACCGAAATTGAAATGGATGACAAGCCGGCCGGTCATTTGCCTCTAAGCGCTGCTTTCAACGCGTTAACGCGCTTCGCAAACACGCAGAGAGAGAGATAGCTATATATGGGGGCGTGGCCAGTCGGAGCTTATGGCACAAGGCGGCACTCTAATGTGGCCACTTTTACGTATGCCGTTCGAGTTTGCTCATTGCTGTTTGCTGTTTGACGGCCACCCGATGTGCAATCATGGACAGCGGGCCACGCAGATTTATGGTCATTTTTGCATCGGACGAGTAAACCCCGCTCTGCTGGGCCCTAGGGAGCGTGACAGGGGTCAGGGGTCAGGGGTCGCGGAAATGACAAAACAAAAATTGCATAGTCAAGTGAGCAGCACATGACGTCAAAGGATCGGGAGTGGATTATGGTCAATTGATGCGACAAGGCATTTTTAACAGCAACTCAAACCGTTCTTAGTTCAGTTGCTTGATTTTTAAATGAAACGAAATCTTACAGCAAAAGCATTCCATATGTTTTATGTTAAATCAGCTTTAAAATGTGATTTTGGGAAATGCTGTTATATAAATTTAAGTGTTCTAATTCAATGGCAATTTCTATAGCTTAGCAATTATCTAACCCAATCTCCGATCATCGATACCATTCACTGTCCTTGAAGAAAAATTTGGCAAGCAGCGACTTCAATCTGGACTCCCTTCGGGGTTGCCTCTTTGCGAAATTTATTTTCCAATATTTGTTGAGCTGAAATTTGGCAACAGTGGCAGCTTCTTGGCCCAGACCCTTGTTGGCCGCTCACTCCGATCCATTTGTTTACTTCTGCCGCTTGTTGTTCTCGGATGGCTTTGGTAATAAACTTGAATTTTATTGTCCAACAAGAATGTTGCAATATGCTTGGCCATAATTTCAACGTCCTGCACATTGTAGCCAAAGACGAGCGAGCTTCCCCTCCCGTTTTTAGTATTCTCCTGTCCAGCCGAAATTTTGTGGTTCAAGCTTAACGTCTCCTCTGATTGCTCTTGTCCTTGTTTCTGCATTTTCCTCGCCAGCTCCTGTACAAAGCAACGACTTTCCACTTTTAGATTATGCAACCGACAAAAAACGGGAAGGAAAGGAAATACCAAGAAACTAAAACAACATTTTTGCTTGACTGAAACATTTGCATTTTATGGGCTCGCAAACCTAAAAATTTAATGCCATTTGGCAGGGCATTTTCTCCTGGACGGACGCAGCATTGAATCGTGAACCGATTAAAGGCCAATAGGCACAAGAAAGTAAAGTTACTAGCCTTAAAAGAAAATGTTCGAATATAGAATATAGAATTCAAGAGTAAGGAACTACAAAAACTTCTCTAAAGTAAAAACCGAGGGTTTCTTTAACAAACAACAAGAAACAGCTAAATTTATAAATTATATTTCATATTAAAATGCGCTCGCTTTGGCATTTTTGATGAGCGAAAGTCAAGGAAAGGCGGAAAAGCAAGTGATTTGGGTCCTGGCCATTTGGAAGTTTAGTGCACCTAATTTAAAATTTATGATGCACTTGAATTGCAGCTGGCAAAAAGTTGAAAAGTGAACTATAATGGGGGAAGGCGGAAAAAGGGAGTCGAAAACTCATACGACAAAGGCGAAATGCGAAATGGGAAATGGAAAATGCATAAAACATAAATAAAATATTCATTGCATACTTTTAGCCATCGAGTTATGCAGTTTTTTTTTTTTTTTTTTTCCTCTTCTATATTTTGTACTATTTTTTGCTGACCTTTTACTGCCATTGTGACTGCTCGAAATTGGCAATTTAATATTGAAAGCCGTGCCCAATAATTTTAATAACAACATTCGAGTTTACTTTTTAACTTCCCAATTGAGCAGAAAGCGTGGTCTTTTGCTCGATTTGTTTGTGCTTTGATTTGGGAGTTTATTGATTGGTGCTTATCCATTTATGGAATATGTTATTTGTGGACAGCCTATACTTTTTTCCTAGTAGAAAACTGTTTGTCCTTTTATTTGTATAATTGATGATGGAAACATGAAACGGAATAGTTTGTATAATGTTTGCATAATTGATCGCACTAGGCAAAGCGACCTTGAAAATGAGCTGGCGATAAAAGTCCATTTGCATCGGACAACCCTTAACCCCTTGGCGTCATCCCCTCGAGCGGAGATCCTGGGGTATCTGTTCATGCATTATTCATGGACCGAAAATCATTGAAGTAAAATGAGTTTATGTCAGGGCCCGATGAAAGCAAAACCAACCCAAACCCAAGCCCAAACCCACTGGGAATTTCCGTGGGCGGCTAGTTCACATTTCCCCAATATATACGTACAGTTCATATACATTTTGCATTAGAGGAGCGCCTCTTGGCCAAATTCCTAATGACTTAATTAGGCTTATAATAAGCAAGGACCACGAGTCGGGTTTCCCTCTCATTTTCCGCACAACAGCTGCACTATCTCTGGGAAAATGGAAATGGGTGGAAAGTGTCCTGGCCACTCAATGGAAACTCGAGTGCTTTTTGTTCGTATGTTCGCTGGTTCGTATGTGTGTGTGTAATTGCGTGGGACGTCGTAAAAATGTTTTAACCGTGGCTCCCATAAATCATAATTAAGCACAAGACGTGGGGGCGTGAGGGGCGTGGCCCTCACCCCCACAGTAATTAATGTGTGTGCATCTGTGTGTTGCTTTTTACTTATTAACTCATTTGGTCTAATCATCATACGTCCTCCAGCGGCCCACTTTGAGGATTGTCTGGTCCTCCCCGTTTCGCTGTTCATTTCACTTACCTTTTCTCGCAGCATATCGCGTATACGCCCCGCCTGATTCTTGGATCGATGCAGCTCCAGTTGCAGCTCCAGACACCGTTCTTGCCAATTAATCTGCCGGTGAAGAAAACGAGGTCAAAACGGGAGTTTAGCTAAATGGCTTACAGGTCATTGGGACCCCCCCCTGGTTCCCTTTTAAAGAAACCAACTAAATGTCTGCAAGATATTTTCTGCGTAGCTTAAAACATTCATTTAACAACTGTATCAAATTTTTAAAGGGTTTTCTAAGTCAAGGGTATCTAGGGTATCTTTAGGTAAACTGACAAGTGGTTTTGCGATTCCAACTCACCTCGGGCAAAGCCTGTCCGTAGTTGTTCACCTGGTGGACGTCCAGGTGCTCGGTGAGCGCCGAGAAGTGCGGCCATGGAGCATCCGGAGCATCCAAGGCTGCCAGCACGGGATTCACAATGGACTGAGCCGCGATGGCACCACTCGCTTCCCTTGGCTCCCGATCCCTCTGCTGCTGCTGCTGCTGTTGCTGTTGTTGTTCCGCTTTTGCTTGATGCGGCTTCGCCGGAATGGGCGGTGGGCGTGGCATGCGTCGGGGCAGCAACCTGGGACTGTTGGGCGTGGAGGCGGTGGCACCTGCTCCTCCTCCTCCTCCACCTCCTCCACTGGCAAAGCGACCCTGAGCCACAGGTATTTGTCCACTGAACGAGGTTGCCCTCTTGGCCAAAAGTGGTGATCCCTGCAGCGACTGTGAGCCCGATAGACAGCCACGCCCACCGCCCAACTGGCTGGGCAGCGAGGGTGGCTGGCTGCTCTGCTGCAGGTGGTGCAGTTGGTGCTGTTGATAGTGGTGGTGCTGCTGCTGCTGGTGGTGGTGGTGGTAGAGGTGCGAGGGAAAGGTGTGCAGGTAGCCACCGCTGATCCCACCGTCTTGCGGCCGCAGGAAGTAGTTGTGCGAGGGGCTGTAGTATTGCAGTGTATTCAGGGGGCTGGCCACGCCCAAGGAAGGCGTGGCTCGCCCAGAAGTCGAGGCAGAGGCACTGGCCGATGGCGATGGCGATGAGGAGGCGGATCTTCTTCGTTGATCCGCAGGAGACTGCTGCGGATGTGGATGCGGATGCGGGTGTAGTTGCGAATGCTGCTGCTCCTGGGATCGCAGGTGCTGCTGCTGCTGTTGCTGCTGCTGGAGATTGGTGAGCGTATCGAAGATTTGCGATAGGCGACCCAAAGGCACTTCGTCAGACATTGACGCGGTAGCTAAAAAGGATACAGAACCATTAGATATTTATTCAAGAACAAAACGATGAGAAATATAGTTAATCTTTAGCAGTCTTAGTTGGCACTGGATTGTTCTGGGATCTAGAGGGCCTGGAGTCGGGTTGTCAAAGGTTGTAGCTTGTTTTTGGACCAGACCTTCAGTCGTTTCGGAGACACTGCCCCGCACACACTTTTCGAAATTTTCGTCTGTCGAAATTTGTTATTTTCCTTTTTTTTTTTTTTGAATTTTTTTTTTGAGAAGTGTTTTCGAGTTTCGGACCAAAAATAATCTCAAATAACTTCGCGGACAATGGCGAATCCCAGGTCGAGCAGCGGTAACAAGTCCAGCAAGAGCAGCAAAGGGCATCACCATCGGCACACGCAGCAGAACGCGCAGCAGACCCCGCAGCAGCAGCAGCAGGTGGACGCCTCGCAGCAGTCGCAGGTGACCCCCCTCGCCCGTGGCCGCCACTGCACTGGAGTCCCCCACTGCCGTGCCCCTCGCCGCCCACCCCTCGGCGGACACTTTGGCCCTGGCGGCCGCCGTCGCCGCTTCGGTCCCGGGCGCCCCCCTGGCTCAACCCGCTGCCGATCGCCGCGCCTCAACGCCGCCGGCGGTGGTGACGCCAACCGAGAGCATTCCGGCGGACGGACCCGAGAACCTGGCCACTTCGCGAACGGCTTCGGCGGCGGCTCCTGCCGCGGAGCACAGACGCGGCTTCTTCCAGAGGTTCTTTGGCTGGAGCTAATAATGGCAATGGAATGGATTCCCCTCCTGACTTCCTGAAAATATTCTCACTTTGGGCAACGTTTCGAGTCTCCTTCGAGCGATAATTAAATTATATTCTACCTAATCGAGTTATCTATATCTCTACTGCCAATTATACAGATATTGACCAGCAGTTTTATTTTAGTTTATTTTTTGTTACACATGTCTGGTTGTTCCGAGTCGTGCAATCCATCAATCCACCAATCTGGCAATAGAATTGTACATTACCAGATCACACTCAACATTTGCACCTTTATCTACGTGCCCAGCCGAGGAAATCAATGCGAGCAGACGGAAAAGCGAGGGAAAGCAATGGGGCAGAACAAAAACGAGTGACACCCAGCCACTAGACAGTGGAAAGTGGACAGTGGACAGTGGAGGGCGGATATTGGACATTGCACAGTAGATATAGATAGATGCCAGTAGAAGCCAGAGAACTGGCCAACAGGTGCGCGAATCTGGAGCATCAATTGCCTCTACGTGTGCGCAATGCTTAATCAACGAGCCAACTGGAACGAAGCGGGAGATGCTGGCCAAAATTCCAAGGAAAAGGGCAGTTGGCAAATTGAATATGCCACTAAATTATAGACAGCAGATTCGACGTTCTGGAGTCGCTGCAGGAATGCCGATGTCTCCTCCATCATCTGTGTGGTCCACGAACTTCTTCTGGCTAATGCCTTTCCAGCTGTCCTATACAGTACAGTATTCCTTTCTGGCATTCTAAGGACTTTCTTTGCTGTGCATTTTTCGTAGCTAAAAGCGTTCAGCTTCAAAATCCGTTTCTGGGTCCATTTCCATTTGTGTGGAGTTGTGGCTGCGGTCGAAGCGAACCGAACCCGAACCCAAACCCAAACCCAAACTCAAGCCAGACGCATTCATAAGAACGCAGAGCATGATGTGTATGTAGCTCTTGTGTGTGTGTGCACCCACTTCATTTTGCAAATTTTGATTTAATTCAAGTTGATTGAAATTCAAATGCAGTTTTTGATTTGACAAAATGTGTCCTGGTCTCCACTGCAGGCCACTCTCAGCACTAGGAACTGCTACTCCTTTTGCTGCTCTCGATATTAAGTGCACTTTACAGCAAATTGTTTCTAATTTGCTTGGGCTTGTGTGAAAATTGGCAACAATGCTCTACGCTCTTCCGGTACTTTCCGCTCCAAGGGAGCTCGTAGTGTCCACAAGCCACTTGATTAGCCCGAGAAATTCGACAACAGAGCAGCAGATTTTCCAAAAGCCCATTATTTGGGTGCATCCAAGTGAATTTCGCAACAATCGAAGAGTTTCTTAGTTTGATTTTATAAATCTGAAAGTGCTGGTACACCAATAAATTCGCAATGCAAAGATTTTAGATTTTATTTGTGTTAACTGTTCTTGAAAAATTAAATTAAACAATACTCTGGGTAGCTGTACAACAAAACAGAAACTCTGGCCTGCGGAATTCAATGAACTCATTCACCGGCATTAGGCGGAAACTGAAGTTCGCTGAGGTTGTAGGGCCTAAATGTAAGCTTACGCTTAGTAAGCGGCTTAACAAATATGGTTTTGCATATGCATATGGTAACTGTATACTGTAGAACGTAAACCGTAAGAGGTAACTTGGTAGAAAATATCCAAGTTTGCCACTCGGCTCAGCATGAACTTTGGCAACAAATGAACACAGGAAACGGAAATGGAAACGAATTAAGGGATTCGGGAAGTGAACCGGGAAGATACCGTTAAACACATATATGTAGAATACCGACACTGCGCGCTCCAACCAACTTCGTGTTCACTTAACTTGGCTAAGTGCAGTAGTAGTGCAGCTCCTCGAGCAGATTTTTCGGAGTTTTGCAAATCCAACTGCATTGTTTTGTGTTTGCTTTTTGCTTAGCACCCTAATGGAGGAGAATGGAGGGGGGGGGAAACCGAATACAAGAATGGCGACGTGGAAGGGAAAACTCACTCAAATAGTTGGCTATGAAGTGCGGAGGAGCGGCCAAAGGGGCGGGTGGACACAAAGATGGAGCGAAGCAAAACAAATTTCTAAAAACCCCAGACGACAGTTAAGCTTCCTTCCTTGGGTTTCTCCTTCTGCATTTCCGGTCGCTCTGGAGTTTTCCCCTTTTCAGTTTTAGTTGCCAGTCGGAGCTTTAGCAAATATTAGACAAAGTATTTATGTATTAACAGCACTGCCAGGGAAAAAAGAATATTCTAGCAGAATGTGGAAGAGATAATCCCCACTCCAAAATCTTTTGGAAGATGTGTTCATTTTGACTTTCAATTTGCATGGCAATTATTATTTTCCAGTTCTTATATTCTTTTAAATCCATTGACCTAAAAAACTGTTAGTTTAAACTTTAAATATTGGACTTCAAAAACAGTCGCAGTCAAAAGCGCAATGATCTATCAACAAAATGTGGTTAAACATTTTGCACCAGACACCGCCCAATGTAGTCTGCAGAATGTAAAGTTGTAAAATTAATACAACATAAAATTCAACCAAAACCCCCAAACACACTCAGTCCACCGAAAATAATTTCCCAGCATGACAACACACCTTGTACACCTCGTACAACCCCCTCAGTTGTCTAGTATCCTCCCTCAGCCATTATTGCAACACTTGAAAAATTTAATAAACGCTGCAGCATCGTTCGCATGCCAATAATTTTCCATCCACCCGCCAACCCTTTTTTCACCCATTTTTCCCCAGCCGCGGTGCAGTGCATCGTCAATTTGAAAAACATTGTCAATGCATGCAATGTGGGTAAAATGGAGAGGAACCGAGTGTTGGTGCGAGATAACTACTAAGCGTCATATTAACAACATAGTAACTTGCTGTCTGTGTGCGTGTGTGTGTCTGTGAGTGTGTGTGTGCTGGGGGAGGGGAGGGTTGGGGAGCAAGCGGACATAGTAACAATTCCACCCTCAACACCACCAACACGTTATCCTCCCAATTTACTTCCGCTTACTTCCCTGCTCCTTTGTTAATACTTGTATTCTTTCAGTTTTGCCATTTGTTTGCTAAAAAAGAAAATGGAATTACTATTACGATCGAGGTTGCATAGAATCCAGACTGTAAATATATAGTTTTTAACTTAAGGTCACCTTAATTTACAGCACAACAACTGGACTCAGCCTTCTATTATGTTGTGGTTACCTCATTTTAAACATAGAAATTATATGGCAAGGAAAATAAATTATCTAAGCCAGGGTATTGCCCACTTCTACACTTTTTCCCCGACTCGTTGTATTTTTTAATACCCACTCCCGCATGTATATTTCCTTTACTCTTTTTTTTTTGCGCTTTCACTCAACTATTTTTCACTCAATTCCGACAAAAAATTTATAATAAATGCTCGCGCACATGTGATGTCGCGCATTTTAATTGGTCGCTGCCACAGTAACTCCGAAAGGGAGTACTTGAAGAGGATATAGAGGCCGCGGGCTTTAAGCTATAGAGCCCAGACAAACCGTGCAACTGTAAGCCCCATCCATACTCATGTGCTATATGTGCTATATATGCTATATATGCTATATATATTACAGGCAAGTCGGGAGGTCGGGGGCCCTAGCTCTTGGGTGCGTCCGTCGTCGTTTCTGCTCTTCCCCTCTTGTAGTCCGTTGTCTGCGGTTTCTCCTTGTAAAACGGTTGTCATTCTGCAGTTGTTGTTTATGCTAGTTGGTAAGCACTTGTAAGGGGGTTTCGGGGGTCACGGGTGCCTCACCATGACCTACGTGACAAGCAAAGAGACTTACAACAAAGCACCGACTGGCGACTAACGACTTGGGGTCTAGATCAACTGAATATATCTCCGCTCATACACACATATATTACGCTTCTTTACCAGCACCGCGCGAGGGTATATACACAGCTGTGGTCAACATACTAGCACCATCTCAGAACTATATTCCTGCGATTAACGTGCAAAACCAATTAGTTCCGCTGTTCTAAGAACTCTTTTTTAACCGAAATTCTAAAATTGAAGTTAAAGCGCTATTAATATGACCATAACTGTACACGTATGTATAGGTTCCCAACAAGTGGCATGAGTGTCCTATGGTTTTTAATAGCTGTCCGCATAATGCATGCCAATTGCCATTCGAATGCGGTTTTTACCGCCAAATGAGGGAAAAGGACTTTAGTTTGTGATCAAGAACGACGCCTTGAAAATGAATTAGTTAAAAAACTTAAAAACACATTTATTGCAATAAGAGTTTATTTATTATTTACTTTAGGATCTTCAACCATTCAACTGTTACCGACCGAATTAACCGAATTAAAAATTACACCATCATCTCAATTGATCTTTAACTTAAGGCTAATCAAACTATTACTCTGACCTGCTCAAAAACTGCGGCTCCGAAACAAACTGTTAACTATTAGACAATCTCTTAACCAGATTCTGATCATCAACACAGAAGAAAAAAATCCCACCAACTATAACCCAGCCGAATAAAGATACAAACACAAAAAAAATCAAGAAAGAAGGCTATCTTCGGCGAGCCGAAGCTGATATACCCTTGCAGTCATCACAAATGTCCAAAGAAAATGGTTGGATCCTAATAATTAAAAAAAAAGGCCAAAAAATAAAAAATTACCCAATGATACAGTTCGTTAGAGAATTGAAATATGCCATTTTGAAATCGGAAAACAAATTAGAAAAATTATGAACCTAATTTTTGTGAATTTTTAGCAAACCCATTTTTTGGAAATTTGGAAAGGTGTTTTATAATAAAAATTAAAAAAAACCTGCGGTCTGAGGTATCCCTTAACTGCTTTGCAAACTTCTGACTGAAATTATAAAACCCTCTGCAAGGGTATGAATCTTGTGTTGTCTTGATAAAAAAAAGGAGAAGCAAACCGGTTTCCCACCCGCTTTGAAAACTTCCAACAAACAACAAGAAGAACAACATGTTGCTTTTAATGAGACCGCAATAACAGAAACCAACAAACAAAAAGTGTCAAAAAATAAGCAGCTAATTAAGAGGCATGACCGTTGGCCATATTAGAGATCCCACAGCCAGAAGCACAATTCCCCAGCAGAGCAACTTCGACCTTTGCATGGACCAGTTTTTTACCCTCGATGGATTCGTGTTTTGGAGGGGGAGGAACAACCTGAAAATCTAGACACATTTAATGGAGAGGTGTCG